AAAAATTAAAATATTTTAATAATTAAATATCAAAATTAATAATTAAAAGATGAAAATATCATAAATAAACCTTTTTCAATGAAAAGTTAATTAAAGTTTTAAAATTTATTTTTTAATTTTTTTAAAATTTAACTGAGTAAAGTGATAGTCAGCCAAACATCTTAAAAAATTAAAAAGGAATAAATTAAAAGGGATATTTTAAATTACATTATATCTATCGAGCATAAAAAAAAAAAGAAAAAGAGACAAGATTATACTTGAACGAAGGCATCAGTAATTGAATACAAGAGAGAATATACGATGGTCATACGCCTTAAGGGAAGTGGGATGTTTGTCAAATCTAGAAATCGAATCCTCAATTACTAACAACTAATAAAACTAACTTACTAATCATTGTTATTGTCAAAAAAAAAAAAAATACAAGAGAATATACGAAAACTTGCCAGAAAACCAGCTTCAACATTTTGAATTTTTATTAGTCTGTACAGAACTATACCCTGTCACTATGCTCAGCCCGGCTGACTATCGAATTTCTAAACCGGACATTTCTACTACCACCGCCCACCAACGCCGTATCATCATTTTTCACTAAGCCAACCTAAAAGGGGAATTAAAAAAAAATGAATGAATTTTAATCAGAAAAAAAATGCTTTACACTAAGAAGCTTGCAGCCTATACAACTCGCCAACGAAAATATCGTACAGAAAATTACAGAATTAATCCTCTAAACGCTGTATTTCGCCCATCATTATGCGATTGCTTGTAACTTTGAAACCAAGAAGAGCAGGATCAATTTGCCTGCCTTTCTTCCCTTTCTTTTTACCACTTCGTCCTCCTTGAGTCCCATCGGAAGACTCAGCCCCGGTCGTTGCATGGGCCTCTGGTACAGCAGATTTTTTGGAATTGCTTTTCAGCATGTCAATAAATGATGCCTCCGAGACATCACCCTCTCCATAGGATGATGTATGTCGAAAACGTGCCTCTTTCTTTGCTGTGGTGTCTGAACCCTGGCTTCCTATATTTCCGCCTGGATCTCGTTTCCCTCCTGAGGATAGCAAAGGAAAAAATTTCAAGCAGTGAACAAGAAGGCTCATTGAACTGATGTAGGATGAAGAGCAACACCGCAGCTAAAGTAAACAGAAGATCCTAAACACCCCCTTCTCCCGGCAGAGAAAAATTCTATGTTTCTCAGGCAAAATTAAAATATGCCACATAAAGCTTCAGAATGAGAGCATTACCATCATTACTACTTAGAGAATTCTTTCCCCTGCTAGCTGGATCAGAAACTAACTCCGACAATCCTTCATGTGATGATGAAGCATGGACAGGTGGCCGTCTTAGCAACATATTGTCTTGAGCTTTGTCTGGAACTTGCACTCTGTAAGCAAAAGGTCAATGAAGCAATGTATAACTTAATTACAACCTAAATGGCCATCTATTTCTACAATCTCAGACTCACTACCGCAACTGCAAAAAATCTTGAATGCTTGGTTACCAGATTAAAGTAAAAATTATCTCTAGTGGGTGATACAAAAGAAGCTGTTGTTTTAAAAGCAAAAATAGAAGTTTTGGGGGGGTGGGAAGCAGGGGGTAATGGTAAGAATGCCAGCATGAAATAGAATAAAGACGATTTATTAAACATAGGTGATGTGAACATCATTGCTTAAAACAAAGCTTATAACCTTGCTGCAGCTTTGGTTGGTCCAATCATTGGATGAAACATGTTAAATGCAACAAACAATGATTAATCAAGTTTGGTGAAATTAAGAATGCAGCAGAATAAGTCACAGCAATGAAACTAACCGATCCTTGGCAACATCTTCTACATATGAATTTATTAATCCAATCTGGTTGGAGTAAGCACTTGCATTTCCACCTGAGAGAAAATTTCAGAAAATATCAATTACACACAATTCAGAAGATACCTATGTTACATGATAACAGAAGATGCAACACATATCACCACATATTAAAAGAAGAGAAATGCAACACATCAAAATATACAATAACAGAACCTACCAGTGACACCAAGTGAAGAATGCCTGCTAAGAACATTAACTGGAACGTCCCTCTCACCTATAAAAGTCAGCCCTCCTTGCTTGATCATGCCATCATGTACCTCAAATGCTGACCCCTTCATCGTGCCCTGGCTTTTGGATTCTTGGTTCATCCACTCACCATCTGATAACTCTTTATTCATGGAGAGCATACCAGTCATGTTAGCATCTCCATAAATTGACTGAGCATTGTCACTAGTGCGCGACAAGAACCTCTCTCTCTCTGACATAACTCCAGATCCAGGCCTAAATTGCAATCTTTCGTCACCTTCAAAACTTCCGGCAGGCTCATCAGCAAAATAAATCTGCTGTGCTTCAGATGAACTTGAACCATAAGAACCTACCGGAATTGAGTTATTTAGACTTGCTTCTTGTTCTGCAAGAACACTAAGTGGATGATCCAAAGAACCTGATCCACAGTAGATTCCAGATGAATCCCTTTCTGAGGACTTAGAAGTTTGATGACCTGATTTCTGATGGAGCAATTCCATCAACAGTTGCCTTGACTTGTCATCATTCAGCCCGTCTGACATCCATGCGCTGGAATTTTCAGAAGGCATTTTGACCCCCAAATCCCTTTTCTGCCGCTCAGCATTGATTTGCAATTGCTGAATTCGAGATTCCATCCAGTCATTTTCCATCTGCCCGTTGCTCTCTACCCATTGGCCTTCTTGTGAAGCATTATACTGATTAGGCAATAGATGGTGAGGATTATGAGTATGAAGGCCAGAAGAAAATGTGCCAACTTGACCTGCAGATCGCAAATGTGTGCTTGGCTCATCTATATCTAAACCTCTGACATGAGCCATGGCATTCACTACATCCATGTTAATCGCTGAAGCTCCAGCAGGCAAAGACATTGAGCGCTCAAATGGGGATAACGAATGCTCATAAAGCCCTTGCCGAAGCTCCTGTATTGAAAGATTTTGTTCAAGGTGACTAAGCTGCTCCTCATGTGAGGGCCTCGGTTGTTGTTGATAGAGATCCAATGGGCTAAAGCCCAATGGCTGAACTCGGTTAATACCAGCAGATTTCCTCAAAAATTGATTTGTTTGATCAGCTGGCCACAAGGAATTTATATCCCTCTCTTCATTATGCTGTTTTAATCCCATGGACAACTGCCTCTGCAATTGCTCTTTTCGAAGAAGCATATGCTCCAATGACTGCAATTGCCCATGTTGAGCATGTGATATGAGGTCATACAGATCTCTTTGATGCTCTTCCTGTGGTGCTTGACCAAATTTTGCCTGAACAAGCTGATCTAAAGATGGAACAAAATGCCTGGACGCATGATGCGACTGTTGTTGTATTTCATGTAAAAGCTGCCGCTCCAACAGAACCTGATCAAGAACATTGCTGGATCTGATAGGATCAGCAAATGACTGCCCAGGGCCAGGGGCAGGAATCTGACCACCAAAAAGCTGCTCAAGAAAAGCTTGTTGAACTTGAGACTGCTGCCGCTCCTGTAAAAGCTTCTGTTCCTTGTGGAACTGCTGTTGGAGTTGAAGCTGTCGCCGCTGTTGCATCTGAAGCGCCAAAAGATGTTCCAAATCTGGTACGGACTGGTTGGACAACTGTTGCTGGTGAATTAGATTTTGACTTGGAAGATGTTCCAAAAGTGACTCATTTAAGCGCGCATGAGGAGATAACATATTTTGTGGGTGCAACTGCTGTTGTTGAAGTTGTTGGGACAAAAGCCGCTCTGTTAGATCAAAATTGTTTGATTCACGTTCCACACGTGACATGTGTGCTGCAGCCAATGCATCTTGATAAATATTGGAGTCAGGAAAAGTATGTTTTCCATAGATGTCAGACCAAGTCTCTCCAGCAAGCACTGGATCAACCATGGTACTGAATGGGGCAGACCTCCCTACCCCAGAAGGCACATTGGAAGACTGGGTATGCCTTGTTTGAGTGCCTTCAAGTTCAGACCATAACAAACCAAAACGATGCAGCTTATTGTCATTCTCATTTGGCGTGCTACTTTCTGTCAACTCATTTGGTAGAGAAGGATGGCTACCTGAATTTATCAAAGGACTATGAATGCTCTGAGAAGATTTTGAAATGGGATAAACATTTCCAGATCTTCCTGGGAAGACAATTTCTGTAAAGAAACAAAAAACATTAGCATGGGTATAAAAGAAGAACCAAACATATTAGCTAATAAAAATACAATTAAGAAAAAAACGATAAGAAGCATCGATAAGAAGATGGACCTTCATCCTGTGCAACAGTCTCTTCAAAGCTTTGACCCTCAGACTGTTGCATTTGCAAATTGACCTCAGGCTCAGAAATTTTGGACTGCACATGCTGAGCTGAGTGGCCATTGAACTTAGATGATGCCCGGAACAGCTTTTCGGTGGACAATTCAATGCTTTTTGTGATCGGACCAGAAGTATGCATAGCCTCCAAGTTTCCTCCCAATGAACCAGATTGTTCAAGCATATAGTTCAGGTCATCAATGTTGGCATGCTTATCTTCAACTTGCAGGTGTGGCATGATCTCTCCTAATTTTTGAAAATGTGTTCCTTCAGGGGAATCTGCCAGACGGACTAGCAAGTCTGTCCCAAAGAAACCTTGCTTGAACCACGATATGATGTCAGCACCAAGAAATGGTCCCTGAGTATTCCCACGAGGATCAATGTAGAACAAAGTCAACTCCTCAGGTGCTAGTCCCAAGCTGTTTGCCTCGTTGCTGTCCAGGTGCTGCTCATTGCTACCATGATTTTGATCAGAAGAGCCCAAGAGAAATAGAGAACCTTTTTCATCTAGAATTTTTGCTTTGGTGTCAAAAGAAGTAGCATTCTCAACAGCATCCTCAGCGTTGGATTGAAGAGCTGCAGAAGAGACTTTAAATTCCTCTACAATGGTAACCTCTTTCCCTGAAACAATATATATTCAATATCTTTAATTTATCTCATGTCTGTCTACAGCACCTATTTTGAATTGACATATGAAAGGGGCTAGGATATGAAAAGTTTAAACAAACTATCTTTTTATTTAAATGCAATTTTGACAGTGGACAAGAATCACTGACCAGCTACCAAATTCAGATACATTTCGTTATTTGATGAGCTGCCAACACTGCAAGCTTTGTATGGATCATCAACAGCAGCCTCTTGTAAGGTATCAATAGTTTCTCCAGTGAGAATATGGCTGAGCATACCCTGCTTTGTCTCTGCATATTCCGAGTCTCCAGCTTCTATAAAAGGAACAATTAGAAAGAGTTAGCTTATGCACCAGATGCCAAAAGAACTGAAGCATGAGAAGTATGAAGTACCTGAAACATTTCCACTAGTTCTTCCCTGTCTAAATGAGTTGTACACTACCCCACTGCCAGTGATCTTTCCTTTCCATATATCATTAAGGATCCCCTGTTAGCATTACATGAGAACAACTCAGTACACAAAATAATCGGTTACCAGATGGGGAAGAGAAAGCTAATTAGCAAGTCACAATGAATGTGGTTAGAAAGATTGCAACTTGTATTACCTCCTCCTCAGAATCAGGGGGAACAAATGCCAATGGTTCCACAAGGCCTACTTGAGTAATGGGAGGTACTTCATCCATCCCATCAGAAATGGCAGCAAAAGATGGAGTATCAAGCTTTTGCCAACGATAAATGTCAAGCAACTTCCCTCTGGGATAGCAAAAAGTTGCAGCAGGAAATTTTGGCTTCCCAGGGATACTTTCATCTTTCAAAGAGTGAGCAGCACCAATAGGACTTGCAGAAGAAGATCTTCCCCTTCCTCGTCCAACAGTAAATCCCAGATTGTTACTCTCCACCTTTCCCCTCTCAAGCCCAAACCCAGGTGCAGCACGGGAAGTAGTTGAACCACCAGAATGAACCTCTATTCTATGTCTTGGCCTCCATTTATCACGGGAGGAATCTGGGTCACGGTCAGATGTCGGTCGGTTGCTACCCACAAAGGACTGATTCTCATTGTGATTATCATCCTTCTCCTTCTCCGTGTCTGTTCTCTTCTCAGTAGTATGAGATTCCTTCTCCTTTTCTTCAGGGCCCCACCTGGAAGACCATTTGTTATCACGACGTGATTCATAGCCAGTGTTTCGAATGCTACCATCATGCCACCGATCAGAGGAAGACATGGCTCTACCGTCAGTTGTTTCCCTACTTGAAACATTTTCAATACGCCGTTCTCCTTTCCTACGATCTCTCCTACTGAGTAAACCAGTTTCTCTTTCCTCTTCACGCCAGCGGCGGTTACTTTCATTCTCAGTCACAATCCTCCTCCAATCCTTTTTGTCCTGAGATCCATCCAAGCGCCCAGCCTCCTTCTGGTTGGGATCAGGGGGATTTCCAAGTGAAACAAAAGGTGGTCCACGTGAATCCTGCCAAACATAAGCAGGGAGTGAGGGGTTCAAAGTGTTATGGTATAGCATCTGGCTGAAGCAAATGATGCACACATTGAAATAAAACATATGGCTTTAGAAAAGTTAACTCATCTAGTATGCCATATAGTTCTTGCCCTTTAAATTTAAGAACATATTATAATTGCTTTCATCACATGAAAAATGAAAATAAGAAAACAATCCCAGGGAAAATTCGAAAGATACCATCTTAGTCTCAGAAGGTTTAGCATAAAGCCACTGAGGAGACAACGGGATGCTGCTCTCTGATCCCATTTGATCTGCAGACACCACTCAAATCACAGTTAATTCCACAGAAGTATAACACACCACTAAGGAAAATCAAGAAACCAAACAAAGCAGACAAGATCAAATTACTGGCATAATGCCACAATATTGAAGGATAGGATCTACCTTTGGGTTCGTCAATTTTTTCATCATTTCCTCCCAAAGAATCCACTGCCATAACATATGCAAAATTCAAAAGATAAAAGAAAAAAAAGGATATGTTAAATCTTTATACAAGAAGTTCACCTGAAAAATAACAATAAGCAAGAAACCAAAACCATTTTACAAAGTTACACTTAAAAGAAACTAGAAATAAATCAAAACTCACAGTTTAAATTTTAAAGTGAAATCATAGAAATTAACAGGCAAAACCAGGGCCATAGAAATTTCAAAGAAAAATAAGAATTAGAAATCAAACTCACACTGCAATTCTAATTTCTGTAAATTGCATAATTGACAACAATGTTAGAAGTTCCATAGTAACTAATTTGAACCCTAATACAACTGCTACCAGTAGAAGGAAAATCCATCTCACACAACAAATTGCGATCACCTTCTTGAACATTACACAGAGTACAACAAGAGTTATACTTATATCATTGATATATCAACAGATCATGTAAAAGCACTTACAAAGAATTCAACATGCATAGTAGCTCACTGAAAACAAACTAAAGACTATTCTACATGTTCTGTTTTGCTGAGAGTACATTTTCTTAATAAGAAAAGTTCAAAATTTTGCTAAGTGTGAATAGGAATCACCATATCCAATCGAAGCAAAGATGCAAAACAATTTACAAAAAAAAAAAATTGATGAACCTATGCTCAAGAAGTTCAAAACCCTAACTAAAAATCTCAATGTTCAACATCACGAAACAGATTCCTGAACACAGAGTTCAGATCAATAGAGGCAGAATCAATCTCGCATTTACTCTGGAATCGGTAAAATAAATCAAATAGAAGAACTGGAACTTCAACCACAAATAAACAAACAAAAGCAAAGACATCAAATCAACGAAAGAGTTGGAAGCACCTTTCCCGGTCCAAGACCGATCGGACGGCTTCAACGAAAGGAGATCCTCCGGTAGATCGGACTTGCCCTCAGCCATCGAAATCGAAGTCAACAAGTTGAAATACAGGAAGTGAGAGTGAGAAAGCGAGAAGGGGGAAGATCGAGCAAAGGAAGAAGAAGAGACAGGAAGTGAATTGGAAGCAGAGGGAGAGAAGCAGAAGCGAAGAGATGGAGACGGAATTCGAAGGGGAAGGAAGTAGTGAAGTCGGTGGAGGAGTTTTGGAGATCGCCGGCGTTTGGATACGTTGGATTTGTTTGAGAAAATTCTTTTGTGTGTGCGTCTGAGTTGGGGAGTAGTGTAGGTAAGGGAAAACAGGAAAGGGTAAGGGAGGGTTTGGGTGGTCAGAACAGCGAAATCAGCTATAGTAGTAATCAAGATAGATGATTGGAGGTAGCTTAATAAAGGTGCATAAAAATATGCCTTATGGCAAACTCTAACAAGCGGTCGTCGCGTTATCGAGGGAAGTGGAATGTTAATCAGGTTTAGGGATAGAAATTTTCGATTGTTAATATTTAACAAATTTAACTTATTAATTATTGTCTTTTGAAAAAACAAAAATATGCCTTATGACTTGGCCTGTGGTGTAGTTTTGAAATTTTACATCTATACATAATTAAAAAATAAATAAATTTTGGATATAAAAATTTAAGGGGTTAATGTTTATAAGTTAAATATATAAAAAATTAGGTAAAAAATTTTAAAATTATATTATTTTAATAAAATATTATAAAAAAAACTAAAACATTCACATTTCTATTTTAAAAATAATTAAGAAATTTCATTTTTTTCTAATAGAACTTTATTAAAATAATTTAGTTAGGGAATATTTTTTTACCTAATTTTTTTACAATATAGAATGGTACTCACTTTTCAAAAAATTTAAATGGATAAAATTCATATACTAATTCTATTCTAGAATAATAGAAATTTTTTATTTAAAATTTGCTTCAAAATCATAGCTTTTCTTTCAAGTGAGACAATTTTTTTTTACTTTAATATTATGATTATTTCTTAACTTTAATTATTCATCTTATCAGAAAAAAATTTCTTTATTTTTATTTTATTTTTTAGAGTGAAATAAATAAAAATAAAAATTGTTCACAGAAACTTTTATTTTTGGCCATCATCTCCACGTCCTCAATTTGAAGATAAAATAAAAAATATCTATTATTGTTGGATAGAGGGGATTTTTTTATTAAAGCAATTAATACAGTTTTTTTAAAGAATAATATGAATAAGGACTCAAATTTTTTCCAAAATTTTATTAACTAGGGATTCAAACTTTGTTGTTCTTAATTAAGGATCTCAACTTTTCAATATTTTTTATTTAAAATGACTTAAACTCACTAATTTTACTATACAAGTCTTTGTTAAATGAAATGCATACATAGGCTTCTTAAGTATATTAGAGTGGCCCACATTCATATGGACATGTTAAAAAACTATTTTTCTCATCAATGATATTGACAAAAAATAAAAAATTATCGTTGGTGTAAGACTAATAATAGACCCAATAAAATCTCAATTTTGTCCATGTTATCAATGACAATAGCTTTTATAACGAGTTAGCATCCAATATAAACCATTTAAACAAAATTAAGAAGCTTACATCAAAATATTCTATCTAACAAAGCCTTGTACAATAAAATTGGAGAGTTTGAGTACTTAAATAGGAAATTTGGAAAGTTGGGATCCTTGATTAGGTTAAAAAAAGAGCTTGAATCCTTAATTAGTAAAGGCTTAAGTATTGAATAAGCTCTTAGAATTTTAATAAATTTGCAATTAAGATATTAAAGTTTTATTATGCTTAAATAAGGTCCTAAAGTATCAAAATTTTCAAATAAGGTTCTATTGGACAAAATTGTTAAATCCGTTAAATTAATTATTAATACCATTAACTCTAATTGGTTAAATATCCAAAATAGTTGCTAGCCTTTTTATTTTACCTTTCAATAACCCAAAAACTTTTAATAGCCTCATATATTTTTTTTTTGTTGACGTGGGAATAGTAATTTAGGGGGTGTTTCTTTTGGAGTTTTTGAGAGAGCTAATAGCTATGAGGCTTTAATTAGTTAAATATAGGCATTTAGATAAAAGTTTTTATTAATTATTAGAAATTAAATAACAGTCATTAAACTCTCAATAGCTATAGTTTTTAATAGCTATTACAAGTAGCTGTTAAATCGAAAAACATATATGATTTTAATTTTTATTTGTTTAATAACTTATATGCCCTTAAATTTAATTCATCAAAATCTCCTTAAGGTTGTGTTTAAGAATGCAAATTTGAATCTAAAGGGTGCATTTCAAATGCATATATTTAAAATATATGTAATTTAAATACATATATTTTAAATTCACTATTTGGAGTGAATATAAAAAAAAAATTTTAATACATATATTTTAAATTTGCTATTTAGATATTAAAATTTCATGAATTTGAAATTAAATTTCATTATGTTTTTCTTTTGATACTTTGAGCATTTCATTACATTCATCAAATCAAGTAAAGATTAGCTCTTATCAACAAAAAGCAATTATACAATACAATTAGGGAAAGTAGATATCAAAATAACTAAAGAAAAGAAAACTGCACCTTATAATAGTAACTAGAAACCTTATTAGACTTCCTCTTGACATGAAAAAAAATGAAAATTAGTTAAGCTCTTATGCAGTCCTTCTTATCTATTGTAACAAGTTAATAATTGATAACTCTCTAGTTTGCTGTTTAATAAGGATTAAGGAGTGCTATCATCATGACTAATGAGTTAGACTCAAGGATTATATTCATGTCACTTTTATCTCTCGACAAATTTAACACCATGCAACATTACTAACACCACCACATCAAACAAGATCTACCACCCATACTAAAGACACTTGTAATGTTCTTATAGCATTTCCATTATGGTTCCATGCAACACCCCCCTCTTCACCACTATAGATAACAGTGCAAGAAACAATATTTCTATAAGGAATTTCATTGAATTTCTATAAGGCATTATCCAAGTACCCAAAATTTCCATAAAAGCTAAACAAACATATTCATAAAAATATCCAAATCATAACCCCTTTTAAGCACAAGGTTATGGATCTTAATACCCATTAGAAAATCTGAAAGTCCAATGCATTGCATGTTTATTAAAACAAGGGAAAGCAAAATTTGTTGGGTAACAAGCCTTCTTCAAGCATAGAATTGTAGAAACATTAAGCTTAATATGTGGAATTTGAGTGGGATTAGCAAGGTAGCTAGCTATGTTAGGAAGCTTATTGCTACAGATAGACTTACTTCCTCTAAGCTAAAATTGGAGTATGCTCATGTGTTAGTTAATATCAAAATTGCTAACAAAATGCTTGATGGAGTTCCTATTACAACACCTAATGATATTGAGTATGTACACCAAATAATTTATGAGTGGAAACCACAAAATGTAGTGTTTGTGGAATCTTGGGACATGAGGCCTACATGTGTATGAAAAAGAAAGATAAATAGGATTTGAATATAGACAATGAATTAGATTAGAATAATGAGAACAATCGGGATCAAGGAGGAGCTACAAAGAAGAAAGATAGGCTTACATGTTCACATTGTGGCATTTTTGGACATGAAGCTTTTAAGTGTAGGATGAAGGCCTAAAAAATGGAGTACAAGGTGAAAGGCAATTCCTTGATTATAGTTGAGAATGCATAACTTGTTTCACGATCTAGACAAATTGTGAATTCTATGACGGAAAAATAAGTATTTGTGGTCGATAACTCTTTTGAGCCAACTTCTAATAGCTGTGATGTGAGTGATCAATCTCATTCATTTAGAGTAGTGTTGAATGGTGGCCAAAATGTTGTAGCCATATTTAGAGGGCAAAGCCTAGGTTATATTCCTCCTAATGGTTAACATAGCCTCTTGGAGTGTTTAGATCTACATGACCATGCTAGGCAACTAAACCTTAAACATTTTCTATTAAAGAATAAAATATCCATGGTGGGTGCCTTGGTGAGTAAAGTTAAATTAAATAAGTAAGCTAACCTTTTAGCAAAGTGTTGTTATGGATTTTTTATGAAGATAACTATTAGTACACTCGAAATGGTAAGAATTGGGTACTATAGGATGCTAATAGACTATTTGTGTAGGTATCGGGCAAAAGTGGCCAATATGTCCACTATGCAATTAGAACGGATGCTAAAGACTAGTTTTTGATGACTTTTGTTTATGCTTTTAATGATAGAAGACTTAGGGTTGCTTTATGGAATAACTTGCTATTTATTGCTAGTTAAGTCTTAATGTCGTGGATCTTACTAGGTGATTTTAACACTACCTTAAATTTTGATAAGTATGTTAAAGGTGGACAAATAGTTTGGGGTGACACTTTAGAACTTCAACAATTTTGTTAGGTTGTTGACATTGAGGATTTGAAGTTTATTGGGCAATATTTAACTTGGTGTAGTCATTAAAAGGGAGATAGGAGATTATATTGAAAATTAGACAAAGTACTCATAAATGAGTAGTGGGTGGTTACTTTCACACATTCAGAGGCTAAGTTTTTGTTGTCGGATAGGTCTAATCATTGTCTTTGTGTGGTGTATGTTAAGAAGATAGAATCTTTTGGACAAATGTTCAAGTTCTATGACTTATAAATTAAATACCCTTCTTTTCTCTCAATTGTGAAAAAGGTTTGATAGATGGAGATAGTTGGTACCCTTATGTTTATCTTTACATAGTAGTTGAAACATGTTACAAAGAGACTAAAAAGCTTACATAAAGAGAATATAGGAGGTTGCATGTCCAAGTTGTGAAAGCCCAAGAAAATCCCTAATGAATTGAATCAAAGATTGTTCAACATCCCTTTGTTAACCAAAAATTGCCAAGCATAAAGTTGCTAGAAAATCTTATCAAGACTTGGTCACTACTCATGCAAGTCTTGTTTAATAGCAGATTAAACTTCACTTATTGTAGTATGGAGATGCTAATATTGCATTTTTCCATGCTTCTATTAAGGCTAACCATGCTAGAAGTAGAATCAATAGCATTCATAATAGTCAGAATGTTATGTTAATTGAGATGGAGTGAATTAAGATTGAGTTTTTAGAGTTTTATCAAAAACTACTTGGGGCAATAAATGATGGCTTGTTTGATGTGGATAAGGATATATTTTAGATGAGGCCAACTTTGACTAAGGTTCAAAGGAGCCTTTTTTCTTTATAAGTGACTAAAGATGAAGTTAAGAAAATTGTTTTCTCAATTCCAAATACTAAATCTCCTCGGCCAAATGGATTTTATTTGGTTTTTATAAAGTTGCTT